CTCGACCTTAAACCGCCAATACACGACCTCCGCCTTGTTGAAAAAAAAACTCGTCGCCTAATTTTTTTTTAGAGATCCCTGCCGAAGATAAATTGAATCGACGGCGGGCGCCCTCCGTAAAGGGTCCACGGTCGATAGCTGGATGTATTGGTGGTCTAAGACTCTAAGAACTTGGTTGCAATGTGGTTCTATCTTTCAAAATCTTTGTTTGTACAATGACTCTATAGCTAGTCATCATTACAGTCACAAGTCGTCTTAAACAAACAACAAAATGTTGAGGGACGTTGGACCCGGTTTCCAACAGGTGAATAGACGGACTCTCTTTGGGAGTGTTAAAGGTGATTGCTCATATTAGCACCCCTCACATTACCCTAGGTTGTTCTCATTAAAAAAAAAAAAAAAAAAAAAAAAAAAAAAAAAAAAAAAAAAAAAAAAAAAACCCCTCAAACTTGAATGTTTAGAGTGCTGAATCTACAAAATTTTGAACTATTACTAATCTATTAGTATTTTTTTCATGTCCTACCTTATAATGCGGCCATAAATGGTATGTGATCTTCGGGGGTCGAGGGTCGTTGATCAATTTTGTCAAATCCCTGTCGAAGTAGTGGTGCCCCTTGGAGGTCATGGCAAATTTACAGTTAGACAAATAAAATTGATACTAGGAAAAATATTGGTGGTGTAGTAAGCGAGAGCATAATTGTTTGGGAATAAACCTATATTTGATAATTTATACAACGGGGATGCTTGTATATCATCATGACTTAAATATTTTGAAAGGATTATCAATTTTCAATTTAGCAAATGTATGGTAAAAAACGAGTTTTCAAAAAACTTGAAAAAAGGTATTAGACAGAGTGGCCTAGGTCCACTTGTCCGCTTGGTCAATAAAAAAAAAAATATATATATATATATCGTATATATATATATATATATATATACTATTTGACGATATATATATACAGGGTCACCAGCCCGTACGTACAGAGGTCCCTGGGCAGACCTCTGTACGTACTGGCGTTCGGGGTCCCGTACAGGGTCTGAACCCGCCGGCATTCGGCCCCCGCCAAAAATTATTTTGGAGCCTAAACATTTTTATTTTTTTCCGAGTTGTTTTTTGTGATTTCTTTATGACGTGAGGTACATGCCTATAAATTTTCAAGTCATTTGGCTTAGCAAAATAAGAATTAAAAATCGCCAAAGATGGCGGTGTCAAAACGTGCTTGCCCACATTTTTTTTTACTTTTTACTTTTTGTTTTCACTTTTGTTCGGGGTCTAAACAATTTTATTATTTTTTGAAACGTTTTTAGTGTGTTTTTCATTATGTGAAGTACACATATTTAACTTTTCAGGGCATTTCGCTATTCCAAAAAAAAAAGAAAAATCGCCAAAGATGGCGGTGTCAAAAACGTGCTCGCAAACTCATTAAATTTATTTATTTATTTATTGTTATTTTTATTATTAGTATTTTTTTATTTTTATTTTTCAAATTTGGCAAGGAATTTGGATGTAATGCTCAGGCAAATCTTGTTTTGTTTATTTTTCTTCATAACATATCTTTTTTTTCAGATGTTTTTTATTTTTTTTATTTGTTTTTTTTGTTTTTTTTTTTTGGTCCGCGTTCGGCCTGAACGTCCGAACGCATCCCCCGAACGTATATATATATATATAAATTTTTTAATTTAAAATTTTATTTTAAATTTTGTAAATATATATATATATATATTTTAGAAGATCATTCTTTATTTATATCAGGCCAGGGAAAGCTCATACCACGTCCCTTGCAAAAAGTCGTCGCAGCCTTGAGCTGAGCGAGGCTATCCGGCCAGGGAAAGCTCATACCACGACAGTGTCAGGGACAAAAACCTTCTTCTCTTAATCTCTTCCACCAATTATACAAAATATTTTAATATTAACGACAACTGTGTACAGCAATCCACCGTATCCTAATATCCTGTATTAGTCTAAGTTATCCTACCATCAAAATTTTTGGACACTCTTACAAGTCTACAATTGTACAAGTCTATAAACATGTGTTTGATCTCATAAAGAACCCTGAGAAAAGCAGAGAAGGCGGTCTACCCGGGAGACACTCTACTGATGCGATTCCTGCAAAAGCACTCCATCGTATAGTGAAGAACTACATTGCCTTTTTTGTAAACACTTTCCGTTGTACTTTGTGCTCCTATTCAACCTGTATCGTTTGTTTCATGCCATATTTGGCCTCTGCTCGGATCATTGGCGACGTCAGCCTATCTCCACGTCTGGTTGCTGAGTTCCTCGATATCCAAAGGGTCCACAGTATTGCACCCCTGAGCGTCTCTTCCGCGTATGTATAACGTTGTGGGAAGGGTGCTCGCCTTGTTGCAGTTCCCATTAATATGAAATGGTCTGTCCATCTGGATCTATTTCCAGGGACAGGGATCTCCGAATGCCTCCACCAGTCCCAGGAAGATCGAGCAATGTCACAATATAGCGCGAAGTGTTGCAGGTCTTCCATCCGAGTCCCGGGACATATCAGACATTTCGCCCAAGCCTTAACAGTGCGTTTTGCGCACCAAACCGCCACTGGGACTGCTTGGTGCATCATAAGCCCGAGGAAGCTAGCATGTTTAACGACGACCAGGGCCATCAGATTCACCCAGAATCTGGGTAACACTTCCCAACAATCTTAGCGAGTCTTGGATCCAACCTGTTGCCAACCATCTACGAGCCACCTTTCAATTGACAACAACCTGAGGGGTAGAAAACAGGTATCCCAATTTGGTCAAATAGCAATGCATCTAAACCATTTCATTTTTGTGCAAGGGGTGTTTCCAGACCCAATCTCTGGGGTCCACAGATAAAAGATAGGAAGGGCGAGAGAGACCAAAGGAGCGATAGCCTGTTGCCGTTTCCAGAACACTGACAGGTGTCAGAGCTTGGGCAGGCGGCAAGGGTTCTTGATTCACAACAAATATCAAAGTTGTTCCCAGGCCAAGAAATCCATCTTGCACTTCCCAACAAGAATGCAATATTTGAGCTTCCTCCGAATAACTCTCCATTTTTCATATTTGCAGTGGTTGTTCTTGGTGCGAGTGTTTATACCACATTCCCTGAGCAGGGACAAAGCCTGCTCTTAATACCTCCACCCAAGCATGAGGGATTACTTGCTGTAGCTGTTGTAGATGATCCCGTTGGTACTGGAGACCAGAAAGCGACAGTACCAAAGTCTCAAAGGGTTTCCAATCAACCAAAACAGGGTCTCATAAGTCATCCACTGTCCCTATGCCTCGTGCCATGTGACCCTGAGGCAAAAGTTGTTCAATTTATTTTTCTTCATAACATACTATTAGTGTTTTTTTTTTTTTTTTTCGGCAGCATAACTGACTATCATTAATATGTCCTCTTGGATACTTGTGCTACATAAATTTAATAATATTGCAACAACTTTTGAAGGTGGGAACAAAAAACTAAAGTTATTAAAAAAAAATCATTTTTTTATTGCGGAGGGTAAAAAGTTTTAAATATGTAAGGATTGTAGGGACCAATATGGATAACATTGAAGAAATCAAACATATAGAATAATAACTCTTGTTCGTAGAATTACATTTTACTGTGTGTCATAATGATTGTTTTTTACATGAATTGGAAAGGTTGAAAACAAAGTTGAAAGATACTAAGGGAGTCTAAGGTACAATCAAAAAAAAAAAAAAAAAAAAAAAAAGACATTAGACCTAAAAATATTGATGGGAAGGATGAGAGGGATAAATGTGATTTTGTAAATGCTAAAAAATAAAACGTAAGTTGATCGGACAATAAGAGTCATAGGGAATGAGCCATAATACGAACATGGAAGTAAAGTGTAAAAGAACTTGAAAAATCAACTAAATGTCTTGGAGAAACCTGTTCATACTAAAATCCAATAAAATAACGGTTGATGATATATTAACCGGTCAAAAGAAGGTTGACAACTGACGGTGTAGTAAAAATGTTCTATAGATTGGAGTTCACCATTTAGGCTTGGAAACTCTATTTGACGACAAAAATATCAAAGAGGGGTAGGAGGAAATATAAATATGTTTTTTATCGAGGTATAATATAAAAAATTGAATTAATGCATAATCGCGTTGTATTGCGTGAGATGCATAGGGTGCTAAATTTTGTATTGATATGTAGCATAAATTTATAGTTAACATGAATTTATATGCATTGATATTAAAGTTTTATAGCATGTATCATATTTATTCAATTCCCTTTGTCCCTTGACTACCGGTAGCGCAAGGTTGCACTACACCCTTTATTCTTTGACCACTGTTTTCACCCAAATAGAATGCCCAATCATTATAGCCGTGTTTAGCATAAGTTTTAGTCCAGATATAGTTAAAATGATAGGGCATTTTATCCAGGTGAAGATGGTAAGGGGCCTGTTGTATTTCGCTAACTCACGTATGATTCATTTTATCCATCTACAAGCAGGACTGAGTGAGACCTGGTCCCCAGTGCTGGTTGGCTGTCCGATTTTCCACTTGGGTTAGGTATTTCGAAACCCTACCCTGCAGGGTTAGGTCTTTCGGAACCCTACCCTGCAGGGTGAGGTCTTTCGGAACCCTACCGTACTCCTTGAGCTGCTTACGGGACTTGGCTCTGGTTGCGGATAGTCGGGGGGGTGACTCCTCCTCCTCCAGCACCCCACTTGTCCGGTTCTCTGCTTGGGTTGGGTTCTCCTCCCTCCTTCCTCCTCCTCGCTTGGTGTTTGTGGGGCTTGGCTCCGGGTCCTGGCGGTCCGGTTGTCCTCCACTTGGGCGTGGTCATCCACCACCCTCCTCCTCAAGCACCCCACCGGTAGTGGGACTTGGCTTCAAGTGCCGGTTGGCAATCCCGTTCACAAAATTCGGTTTTCAACTTGGATTTGTACTCTTATTCTCGACTTCGGCTTGGTCCTCGGGCAGCCCTCTACCCCTCCCCCTCCCTGCGCAGGCTCGGCGCAGGGGTTGGCTTGGACGCTGCGCTGCGGCATAGG